CGGGACAAACTTGTTTGCTGCCTCCTTACACTTCTGCGTGATGAAGTTCGGATCATGTCTTGGGCCGTCTTTCCCTTGAGCTCTGGTTCCAATGTTATATCTGTTAGGAATTTTCTTATCTCCTCATAGTTTCCATTTCGGAATGCCAGCCTTTTGTTTTCAGTACCCCTCCTCGAGCTCATTAACCCTTCTTCAACCAGATACTCAAACGTCAGTATACTGTGGTCGTTCATTCCTACTGGGGTCTCGAAACTAATTTCCCTTATGTCGGAGTCGTTCAGAGTGAATACTAGGTAGAGTCTCGCTGGTTCATCGTTTCCTCTCATCCTTGTGGGTTTCCTGATGCTGGCTTAAAAAGTTTCTTGTGACCACCTTCAATAGTTTAGCCCTCCATGTATCCTCACCTCAATGCGATTCCTTGTTCTCCCAGTCTATCCTTCCGTGATTGAAGTCCCTCATAATGAGCAGATGGGATCTATTTGTGTGGCTCCTCTTGCATGAGAATTTGACGATAGATGGAATTACTCGTCTCCATTTCACTTCGCCTCAGAGCTACAATATTTTGTTAAAGTTCTTGGTGTACTATTGCTCTCAGACTTCTCATTGACAATCCAAAGTTGTACTAAAGTTCTCCTTTAAAGGCAGATTTTTTGGCTAACTCATCAGCTCTATCGTGCATTCGTAGGCCAACATGAGATGAAGACCACATTAGGAAGTGATGTGGTGGAGGCTGACTCCATACACAGTTTCAAGTGTAGATATGATAGAGCCCAATAGGCTCAGGAACCTGTACACCTGTTGATTGACGGCTGAGAGGCGGGACCAAAGAGCCAGATCTCAACCCCCGCAAGCACAATTAGGTGAGTACATGAAATGGACTCTGTTACCATCATTAATAATTTTGTTGTATTTGTGTCTAGCTGTGGACACGAGCATGTTGCAATTATGTCTTAAAGAGTTGAGAGCAATTAAGGATGATAAAGAGTCACTTACAATTAATGTATCAAGTTTGGAGACTTGTACACATTTCAGTGCAAGGAGCAAGGCAAATAGTTCGGTCTGGAGGGTAGAGGCCCAGTTGTTAATACCCACTCAAAATATATGCCATCGCCCATTGTTAGGACAACTGCACTTCCAGCTGCACCCATGGGGCAGTGTAGAGAACGTAAGTGTGTATAATTTGAGAGAGAGAATGCTCTGTGGACAGAGCATCAATGTGGCTTAAGGCGTTGAGGCCTCAAGACGAAGCTTGGGCTGATTTTTAATTTGTTTCTTGGGTTGAAAGGGAAGGATTAAAATTGGAAAGGGTGTAATCTCCTACGGTGCAGGAAAGTGCCGTTGTTGTCTCTCTTGGTACAAATTATAAATCCGTTACATTCTGAGTTCAGTTCCAGTTTTAGTTATCTCTGTGGGACAGTGCTGACCTTCAATAAAGAAATTCTGGAGGGCCTCTGTGCAAGGGTTAGGATGAGTACGTTGGCCTAAGCATTTTTTTATACCAATTGCAGAACGAAGCCGTGAGGATAATCCTTGGATGCCCTCGTACCACAAAGATACTTAATTTAACATGAAAAAGGAACTTAATATTCCGAGCGCTGTTGATCGTGTTACTGAAATTAACTGTCAAATTAGAGGACAAAAAAGGTACATACACTGTATAAATGAATGGCCACGTCTGTGGTAGAAAATAAACTATAGTGAAACAATATCCTGTCGTATTCCAGGGAACATAGGATTATGGACTTGCCCGAAACGCTACGCGTACTAGTGGCTGTACAAGAATGTAACAACTCTTGTATATGAACGCTATGTGTACTAGTGGCTTTAGGTATTGTATGTACTACCTCTATCTTTAAATCTAACAGGATGTTTGTACTATAACGCTGCAACTATGTCCAACACTGGCCCCAGACATCACTCGGTACTCCTGCTCAAATCTCTGAATATGTTAGATATTAAGTCACTGCACATTCTCTCATGTGTATTATACATATATAAAACGCTGAACTGTAATGCCAAAACTTCAACAAGATCTTGTAGATCTGAGGCAAAGTGAAATTGACACCAGTAATTCCATCTATCATCATACTATCATGCAAGAGGAGCCACACATCTATGGATCATCCAATAAAATCAGCAGACTTCTAGATGTTACTACTGCTCGGCTTAGACTCGGTTACAAGTATCTCTGGGAATTCTCATTATCTGCTGATGTAGACCTGACCAAATGTAAACTGTGTCCACAAATGTGGTAATCTCACAGATGTTAACAACTACAGACCTATATCTATCCTGCCAAACTTGTCAAAAATTTTTGAAAAACTAATCTATAAGCAGCTTTACTCATATCTAGCCAAACTCAATATACTTAGCCCTTGCCAATATGGCTTCAGACCCAAAAAAAGCACTAACGATGCACTTATTAGTATGCTTAACTCGATTCATACAGCTCTTGATAAAAATGAGTTCTCTGTTGGGTTGTTTGTGGACCTGCGTAAAGCTTTTGACACTGTCAACCACCAAAACCTTCTTCTTAAATTACATCATTATGGAGTCAGAGGACACTCCCTACAATACCTCAAATCCTACCTTACTGACAGGCTCCAATATGTTTCTGTGAATAACACAATTTCTCCCACCCTACCCATCAACATTGGTGTTCCCCAGGGCAGCATACTTGGCCCTCTCCTCTTTCTCATCTACATTAATGACCTTCCAAATGCCTCCCAACACCTCAAACCAATTCTATTTGCTGACGACACAACCTTCATTTACTCCAGTCCTGATCCCCTTGCTCTAAATGCCACAGTAAATACTGAGCTAAATAAAGTCCATCTGTGGCTAACTGCCAACAAACTCACCCTTAACATTGACAAAACCTTTTATATTCTGTTTGGCAATAAATCCTCTAATCAAATAAATCTCAAAATAAACAATACCCAAATTTGTAAGAAATTAGATGGCAAATTCCTTGGCATTCTCATTGACCACAAGCTTAATTTCCAGGGACACATTCTAAACATATCAAAAAAAGTTTCAAAAACTGTGGGCATTCTTTCTAAGATCAGATATTATGTACCACGCCCTGCCCTGGTGACTCTCTATTACTCCCTTATCTATCCATATCTCAACTATGGTATTTGTGCTTGGGGCTCTACTACCCAAAATCACTTACGTCCTCTAATTACTCAACACAAAGCTGCTATTAGGACAATATCCAATTCTGGCCCCAGACATCACTCGGTACCCCTACTTAAATCTCTGAATATGTTAGACATTAAGTCACTGCACATTCTCTCATGTGTATTATACATATATAAAACGCTAAACTATAATGCCAATCCTGATCTCAAAAGCTTCATAGAAGGTTGTATCAGAACCCATGAGCATCACACCAGAAATAAATACAGTTTTGATATTCCTAGAGTACGACTTAATCAAACTAGAAATGCTCTACAAATCAAGGGGCCCAGAATGTGGAATGACCTTCCCAACCATGTTAAAGACTGTACCTCTCTCAACCAGTTTAAGTTAAAAGCGAAGCTATACCTAATAAATTCCCTGTAACCTACCTTACCCTTCTATTGTCAACCAATGTCTGTTTTTTTCTTTAAAGAGCGCTGTTTGTCGACATAATTGTATTTGTGCTGCTTTTTCATCTATGTTTTCATTTCTTGTTTTCATTCTACTCATTATGCTCAATTAGTATTAAGCTTGTCATTTAAGTTTATCATGCCCGAAACGCTTTGCGTAATAGTGGCTTTAGGCATTGTATGTACTAGCTATACCTATAAGTTAAACAATCCTTGTAAATATTTATTGTATGTATGTACCTTACCTAAATAAAATTGTATTGTATTGTATTGTATTGTGTCAACAAAATTATTCGCACACCCTCCGTCACTATGTGATGGAGTGCGAAAAGATACGTGAATTTAGAGACAATTCTATAACCAATGTTCCAGCGATGTGTCAATATTTCATTCAAAATGATCTGCTACCAGAAATTTTAGCCAAATATCCCCAGTTTGCTAACTGTAGGTAGTAACTGAGTGATTGTAACCTATCCACCGCTGCTCACTGGATGGGGGGCGGTGTGCAGGACAAACATATAAATTTTGACACTAGCTGTCCACATATGTCAGTTGCTTAATTTAGAACCTGTACTTGAGGTCGATCTCGAACCCATTGTTGATGTGATGACTTATATTGAATTTTGTAACTAGCTCATCAAGATTGTAACTTGCTTAGCTAAATGAATTGTGGGGTTCAGTCCCTGAGCCCATTATGTGCCTCTGTAACCCTTTCCACTACCGCCCACAAGATGGGTATGGGGTGCATAATAAATGAACTAAACTAAACAATCCTGACCTCAAAAGCTTCATTGAAGGTTGTAACAGAACCCATGAGCACCACACCAGAAACAAATGCAGTTTTGATATTCCAAGAATACGACTTAATCAAACTAGAAGTGCTCTACAAATCAAGGGACCCAGAATGTGGAATGACCTTCCCAACCATGTTAAAGACTGTACCTCTCTCAACCAGTTTAAGATAAAAACGAAGCACTACCTAATAAATTCCCTGTAACCTACCTTACCCCTCTATTGTCAACCCATGTCTGTTTTTTTAAACAACGCTGTTTGTCGACCTAATTGTATTTGTGCTGCTTTTTCAGCCATGTTCCCCCCCTTTTTTATCTTTATTTTTATTTGTTCTCAACTTTATACTCAATTAGTATTAAGTTTTAGTCATTAATGTTTTTCCTGCCCGAAACGCTTTGCGTAATAGTGGCTTTAGGCATTGTATGTACTAGCTCTATCTATAAATCTTTCAATTTTTGTAAAATCTCTTGTATGTATGTACCTTACCTGAATAAACATTTATTTATTTTTATTTATTATTTTTATTTATATTTATGTATGTACTGTTCCTAAATAAATTATTATTATTATTATTATTATTATTATAATAAAATATCAATACAAAAATGTGTCCGCACTCCATGAGACCTGGAAAACCTTTGGTCTCGCAGTCGCTTGTCAAAACAATGGCAGCTGGGATCAGGTTATTTTGCAATAGTAGGCACTTACCTTTGCAAAATGCACAGTTGCACAAGGTCAGTTACAGGCGGTTATGTTTCTCGTGTGACTGTGATGTGTGTGGAAGGTAACACTATAACTACTACTTGTGAGCACACCTCTCTATCCCTGGACTGTACTTGACCTGCTCCGTGAGATCGGTCCGTCTAATTCGGTCCGTCTAATTACCACAAGCTACCACAAACTACACAAACTTCAGAAAGCTTCCTGGCAATACGTTAGTAATGAATAAATATGATATATTTACTCATTATAATGTTGGTGCTGAATGTACAACACGAAAAAACATAATTTTAATCTGAAAAAGTATCTTTTTATAAAGAAATTAGACGAAAATAAAAAGCTGGTGACGCCAAATCAAGTCGACGATCCAAGCTTCGGTTAGGTTAGGTTAGGTTTGGATAAGTTAGGTTAGGTTAGGTTAGGATAGGTTAGGTTAGGTTAGGATAGGTTAGGTTAGGTTAGGATAGGTTAGGTTAGGTTAGGTTAGGTCAGCCTAACTTAATATATCATATTTATTCATTACTAACGTATTGCCAGGAAGCTTTCTGAAGTTTGTGTAGTTTGTGGTAGCTTGTGGTAATTAGACGGACCCGTCTAACTACCGCAAGCTTACACAAGCTTCACAAAGCTTCCTGGCAATACGTTAGTAATGAATAAATATGATATATTTACTCATTATAATGTTGGTGCTGAATGTACAACACGAAAAAACATAATTTTATTCTGAAAAAGTATCTTTTTATAAAGAAAGCCGAAAATAAAGAGCTGGTGACGCCAAATCAAGTCGACGATCCAAGCGTCGGTTAGGTTAGGTTAGGTCAGGTTAGGTCAGGTTAGGTCAGGTCAGGTCAGGTCAGGTCAGGTCAGGTCAGGTCAGGTCAGGTCAGGTCGGGTCCGTCTAATTACCACAAGCTACCACAAGCTACACAAGCTTCAGAAAGCTTCCTGGCAATACGTTAGTAATGAATAAATATGTTAAGTTAGGCTGACCTAACCTAACTTAACCTATCCTAACCTAACCTAACCTAACATAACCAAACATGGTGATGGTACCATAGGCTTGGAGATGCATCAGAATGAAGGTTTGCTATCTTTGATGTCTGAAGTAGAGGGCCTAGTTTGGACTTCCACAGAGTATCTGTTTCTTGTTGCAGCTTTGCACTAACATTCCTGGTAATCTTGTCACTCTTCTTCTGATCCTGGTCTTTAATCAATGCACTATGATGCCTTGTACTTAGGTGCAGTTGTCTTGATTTTCACAAAGTGGTGAAACTAAACCCCAGGCTTGTGTACATGTCCATGATCTGCAGAAGTTTGCACTCTTAAGGTACTCTTCTGTGCAATATCCTTGTTTATATTCAGATCTGCACATTTATTTTTCAATGAATACTCTTGGATTTTCCTGTCAGTGCTGTTAGGGTGTGGTGCTGGCAATCTGTCTTACTAATGGTCACATCTCTGGTCAGTGGCTGTGTATTTGAATGTCTTTGTGTTTGGGGACATGCTCTTAACCTTTGCTGTCTCTTATACGCCACTTTTCAACACTCGTAAGTGTTTCTGGTTTTTTATTCTAAGTACTGTAATTAGTTTTTTTCCATGGATATTATGCTTGCTTAATGTTTCAACTAAGTGGTATAACTCAGAAATAAGGCTAAGAGAGTTCAGTATGGGTATATAAGTTTTTTTTTTTTTTTTTTTTTTTTTTTTTTTTTTTTTTTTTTTTTTTTTTTTTTTTAGCAGACCACTCAGTTGCTCCAATTCCTTTTCATTTTCCCACTTACCCTTGTGTTGTTTGGGGTTTCAAATTAGGCTAAAATTGAGGTGGGCGGCACCTTTCTACTCTGTGACAATGTAGGTGCTGCCATCTGGTGGATGGCAATACTTGCTAGTCTCTTTGAAGTTGAATATTACTTGGCGTTTTTTTCCATCGCCTTCCATCTTCCACTATGACAGTGGGAATGTTTAAGAAGATCCCAGCTGCATCTTTGAAGTAATTGCCAACCTGGCATGGCTATGGCATGGTCCTATCCTTGGGGGAGAGCAAGACTGCTTAAGGAAGTAATTGAGTGATCTGGTCAGAGTGGGGCTTTCCTACACTTTCTTTGTATGGGAAAAAATGTAAATGTGAGAATAGTGTATTAAATTAACTCAAATGAAAATGTCTTTAAAAATTGGATTTTTATTTTTTCAGGTTTCTATCTCATCCAGGACTGCCATCATCAGACAAGTTGGTAGTTTGTCTAATGAGAAGAAAAAGAAGGTGGCTGAAGGCCCGTCCCTTCAAGACTTTGTATCAGGAGAAGTAAGCAATCAGGGTTACCATATCTTTGAAAAATTTTAAATTAATAATTTGTAATACTTGCACTACTCCAATTACTGCTTTCATTTACCTCCTTTGCTCAAATTGCCATTTGCAGATTTTTCCTATTTGGTTTGTTAACTACTTTTATTCATGCACATCTTGATGTGGTACTATTAAATAACTGTACGATTTAAAATTTAAAGGTTGGGCATCAACCCTAAACGTTTGAGTCCAGATTGCTGAAAGAAAAATGTTCACTTTCTGCAACACATCTGAAAAGGAAGACTAACTTCTTACAAGAAGATATTTTGAAGAGGGGGAGAGGGAGGAAGGGAGAGGGGGGGGGGAGAGGGAGAGAGATAGAGTTAAGGAAGGAGGGAGGGAGGGAGAGGGAGAGAGATAGAGTTAAGGAAGGAGGGAGGGAGGGAGAGGGAGAGAGATAGAGTTAAGGAAGGAGGGAGGGAGGGAGAGGGAGGGAGGGTGGAAGGGGAAGGGAAAGGGAGGAAAGTCATCAGCTTGACCAATGTATTAAGGAGACAGGGAAACAAATTTAGAAATTATTGAAGAAAAATAAGACATGGAAAGTGAAAGGGAAAGAACTTGAAGAAATAGACAAAAAAAAATAGAATATGGACTGGAACTCTGACCGAATTTTCAAGCTAGCCTAAGTGTTTAGTTATGTAAGGAGCTAGCTTAGAGAAAATTTGTAGGCCTTAAATGGAGGTTATTAAATGGTTAGGAAAGTGTAAGGAAAAAATGAATGAAACATATGTGCAGATAGTCAAAGAAATGGAAACAGTCAGTGTGCAAGGAAGTCAAGACCAGAAGTGAACAGTCAGGAACAGACATTAGACAGGTAATTAGAAATGAACTGCAAGAGTCAATGGTAAAAAGTCAGTGGTAAAGTTCAACCTAAGAAAATAGTTGAGAGGATGACAATAGAAGAAAAAATAAAATAGAGATGATTTGTTAACATGAAGATGGTGTGTGAGTGGTTGATCTGGCTAGGCAATACATGTATCACTACAATGTGATGTTTCACTACAGACAATTGTTAAAACATAGGCAAAACAAGTGTACTGTATTTAGATTGTTAGTGAGACAAACAAACAGTGAGCCTAAGTGTTTCTGGTTTTTTATTCTAAGTACTGTAATTAGTTTTTTCCATGGATATTATGCTTGCTTAATGTTTCAACTAAGTGGTATAACTCAGAAATAAGGCTAAGAGAGTTCAGTATGGGTATATAAGTTTTTTTTTTTTTTTTTTTTTTTTTTTTTTTTTTTTTTTTTTTTTTTTTTTTTTTAGCAGACCACTCAGTTGCTCCAATTCCTTTTCATTTTCCCACTTACCCTTGTGTTGTTTGGGGTTTCAAATTAGGCTAAAATTGAGGTGGGCGGCACCTTTCTACTCTGTGACAATGTAGGTGCTGCCATCTGGTGGATGGCAATACTTGCTAGTCTCTTTGAAGTTGAATATTACTTGGCGTTTTTTTCCATCGCCTTCCATCTTCCACTATGACACAGTGGGAATGTTTAAGAAGATCCCAGCTGCATCTTTGAAGTAATTGCCAACCTGGCATGGCTATGGCATGGTCCTATCCTTGGGGGAGAGCAAGACTGCTTAAGGAAGTAATTGAGTGATCTGGTCAGAGTGGGGCTTTCCTACACTTTCTTTGTATGGGAAAAAATGTAAATGTGAGAATAGTGTATTAAATTAACTCAAATGAAAATGTCTTTAAAAATTGGATTTTTATTTTTTCAGGTTTCTATCTCATCCAGGACTGCCATCATCAGACAAGTTGGTAGTTTGTCTAATGAGAAGAAAAAGAAGGTGGCTGAAGGCCCGTCCCTTCAAGACTTTGTATCAGGAGAAGTAAGCAATCAGGGTTACCATATCTTTGAAAAATTTTAAATTAATAATTTGTAATACTTGCACTACTCCAATTACTGCTTTCATTTACCTCCTTTGCTCAAATTGCCATTTGCAGATTTTTCCTATTTGGTTTGTTAACTACTTTTATTCATGCACATCTTGATGTGGTACTATTAAATAACTGTACGATTTAAAATTTAAAGGTTGGGCATCAACCCTAAACGTTTGAGTCCAGATTGCTGAAAGAAAAATGTTCACTTTCTGCAACACATCTGAAAAGGAAGACTAACTTCTTACAAGAAGATATTTTGAAGAGGGGGAGAGGGAGGAAGGGAGAGGGGGGGGGAGAGGGAGAGAGATAGAGTTAAGGAAGGAGGGAGGGAGGGAGAGGGAGGGAGGGTGGAAGGGGAAGGGAAAGGGAGGAAAGTCATCAGCTTGACCAATGTATTAAGGAGACAGGGAAACAAATTTAGAAATTATTGAAGAAAAATAAGACATGGAAAGTGAAAGGGAAAGAACTTGAAGAAATAGACAAAAAAAAATAGAAGAATATGGACTGGAACTCTGACCGAATTTTCAAGCTAGCCTAAGTGTTTAGTTATGTAAGGAGCTAGCTTAGAGAAAATTTGTAGGCCTTAAATGGAGGTTATTAAATGGTTAGGAAAGTGTAAGGAAAAAATGAATGAAACATATGTGCAGATAGTCAAAGAAATGGAAACAGTCAGTGTGCAAGGAAGTCAAGACCAGAAGTGAACAGTCAGGAACAGACATTAGACAGGTAATTAGAAATGAACTGCAAGAGTCAATGGTAAAAAGTCAGTGGTAAAGTTCAACCTAAGAAAATAGTTGAGAGGATGACAATAGAAGAAAAAATAAAATAGAGATGATTTGTTAACATGAAGATGGTGTGTGAGTGGTTGATCTGGCTAGGCAATACATGTATCACTACAATGTGATGTTTCACTACAGACAATTGTTAAAACATAGGCAAAAACAAGTGTACTGTATTTAGATTCTTAGTGAGACAAACAAACAGTGAGCCACAACCTGGTCTTAGTGGTATGCCTGCAAAATGTAGGAGAGAGAGTACCCCAGAAAGGTCATCACTGCCTGATGTTATAATGTAAGGGGACTCCCCCTTCCAAACACTAATTGGGCTCGTAACCCAAAAAGTTCGTAAAGAGGGGCATTCGTAAGCCGAGGTGTCACTGTACTGTATTCTACAGGAATGGTCTTAAAATGAGAATGTCTAGTATTCATTTTCTTTTAACAAGCTGCTGTCACACAGCCATGCTCATGACAGTAACACTACAGTACTCAGGTACTATTCACATGCATGTCATAGTTTCCCTAAATCTGCCTGCCTTCACAGCCTTTCCTCTTCTACCTCAGTGATAAAAGTTTATATATTCAAAGATTTTATTTCCAGGTCACCAGAGAAATGACATGGTCAGACTACACTGGGAAGCTAAAGCGGGAAGCAGGAGAAACTGAACGCTTAAGACTACCACCTTGGCTCAAACGAGAGATTCCTATAGGCAAAAATTTTAGTAAGGTTGGTAAAATTTCAGAGGGTGCAATTATTAACAAAAATTTCCTAATTATGAGGGAATGCTACTGTTCTGGAGTACTGTAATTGCTGGAGAAAGGCATTTGCTTGAAGCTTAGTATGGTATATGCAGTAATGTCATTCCCCTTTTCAAATTAATTGTAATTTAGTTCCTCATTATAGACTCATTTAAATAATAATTCACTTGATCATGATAAAGAAGTTTGACTTAAAAATTCAGACCTCATTATAGCAGATACTTTGAAAATTTTGAAACATTTTGCTTATAAAATCTAGGGAAAGGTGGGAATCTGACCAATCCAGCATCCTTAGTACAGTACAACCCTGATAAACCAGATTCCCATATAATGGATTCTTTAATTAACTGTAAAAAATAAATGGAGTTCCATAAATTTAATATCCAGCTTTAACTCATTTATTTCTGAAATATACAGAGCAACTTCAAAACTCCAAATGAAAGGTTCAGTTGATAGACTCGAACCATCCAGACAAGTCTGGCCACTGATTATTTGGGAGAGGCAGTGTCCTAGGAATAGAAGACAAGGGCCAGGAACTATGGCTGAACTGACTACAGAGGAGCCCCTTGTATCTGCTTTGCCATACTCTTTCATCCTATTGAGAGTTCTTCAGTCACCAACCCTTACTTATTGCCTTCTTAGATGGTGGCTCATATCCTCATATCCTCGCAAGTTCACCTTTCGGCCAGGTTCCAAAGAGAAGTGATTTGGCTGGTGGTGAAATAGCCAAAACAACTTAGAATTGGGGCCCAGCAGGCTCCAGTGGGGTTATATTGGAGGTATCATTAATGGGTCTGTTCCTGGGGAGCAGGGCATTTTACCAGTACCTGTTCACTGGCAAGTTTTGTTCTTTCTGTTCCTGTATTGATGTTGCTTGTGATATACAGTACAGGTACTGTAGTTTTGTGAATTGCCAACTAAATTTTGAATACTGTCATTTTCTAATAACCAGCTTTGGCATAGCCTCTTCTTCTGAACTTTCGTATTTTTCATGTCTGAACCTTTTCTCAGGTTAGTAAGGTCTTTGTTTCATCTCCAGCTGGCTCATCTTCATCTTGAGCTGATGTGGTCCATCTTTTGGCTTTTCCATCTAGTCATGCCCTTTGACTGAAGTGGAGTTCCTTCTCTCCTTAGGCCTTCTCTTCCAGTAATCTATTTTTGTTAGACTTAAAACATTCCCTTTCTTTCTTGGTGAAATGTGAGTTGTCAACCATTCATCTGAGAGTCCTTTGCTGGTGGAAAAGTGGTTCAAGCAGCTGGGGTGCATCATATCCTTTGTTCAGTGGGTTTTGTTTTGGTTGGACTTTTCTTAAACTCACTTTATGTTGCCATGAACTAAATTCCAGCATTCTCAATTTATTTTACCTGATTGTCAAAGTCAACCAGCCCCATAATTTATTCTCATGTCATGATTTGCTAAAATTTACTACCTTAGTTGCCTTCTTCTCATCCATGTCCTCTTTTACTTATCTTTTGTTATGTAGCTCAAGGAAGCCAAAGGGGCTCCCCACAGAAAACCAACATTGAATGTATGAAATGCCATTTTCTGGGTGAGCCTTGGAGGCTCCCTGATATCCTCCCTCCCTCCAGTCGGCAGTTTCATTTTGCTTTTGATGCTTAGCCTCCAAACTGAGATTGGGTAGCTCATGCGATGGGTCCAGGACTCCCCCCTCCTGGGAGGGGGGCTGTGTGGCCAAGCAGTGCGGCGGCGTGGTGTGACGTTTGCTTGTTTCCTTAGGAATTGAGAGAGTTCTGCCTCTCTGTTCGGTTTTCGGTTGCAGTTTTTGACCATATGGGGTCTGTTTTGTTATGCCTACCTTTCTGGGTGCCTAACCCTAGTCGATGGCAGATAAGAAAAACCCCCAACCACAGGAGCATTTTCCAGGGCCATTGCTCCCTGTGCCTCTCTGAGGGGGGCCAGGTTCTGGTCCCTGGTTCATGGTCCCTGGTAGGCTGAACTCCAGTGACTAAAGCCCTGGTCTAATGTATCACATTAGCTCAATAGCTCTAGGGAGCCTCCGGAGCTCACCCAGAAAATGGCGTTTCATTGCATTCAATGCTGGTTTTTGTTGTTGCAATCATTTTATTCAGTGACTTATTTTTTTACACCAAATTGTTTTATTTTGCAGTTGAAAGCTGACCTTCGTGGACTTAACCTCCATACTGTATGTGAAGAGGCCAGATGTCCAAATATTGGTGAATGCTGGGGGGGTAATGATGATAATATATCAACTGCAACTATAATGGTATGTACAGGACACTATAATGTATCTTTTTTCCTTTTAGCATTATGACACCTTTACTTACTTCCTGTATGTTATGAATAAATATTTAGTGTTACTTTTTTTTTTCTGGCTCGTGGCATTTTCTGGCTTACCTTGCAATTTTTTGTGGCTCAACGTCCCCGCGGCCCAGTCTTCGACCAGGCCTCCCTGGTCGAAGTGCTGTCACACTAGCACCTAAAGGTGCTGTACATAAATCCATAGCTCACTCTATTTTCTGAAATCCAGGTTTTTATGTAATTTAAAATGATTTGTGGGATTCAGAAGTGAAACCTAGCTTTGGCGTCGCTCCGGTTCAATTGTACACTTTTCAATCCGGATTTACTTAGGATGCTTAGAATATAGGCCACGATTCAATGCTCTAGCTGAAGTAAGTTTTAAACTAATTAACTTTAAAACATTTCTAAAACAATTTTTCTGGGTGGGAGCCCCTAAGGCTCCCCAGAGCTATCCAGGCTGATATGGATATCCCTAACTTTGGCATCAGTTGATGTGGGTGGAGTTCAAGGCCTACTGGGGTCCACAAGGCTCTCTGCCGTTATTTGTGCGCCACGGCCTCTGTGGCTGGGGGCACACTTTAGGTTGATCCAGTTACCCTGTTTTTGGGTTTGGGTCTCTCAGGTGGTATGCGAGTTATTCGGTCTAGCCAGCCTGCGGTCTATTCCCGTGCCCATGACGTTTGTAAGTTTTCTGCGCTTGCTGGTGTCTTCGGTAACATGTCCTGGGCTGACATTCAGGCACGAGGTTTTTCGGCGGTCACACAGGGTCCTGGCTGCATGCTCCCTCGTGAATGTTCCTAGCCCTAGTCAGGCCTCTGTCGCTTTGGGTTGGCGGTTGCAACCTGTTGTCTCGACTTCAAGTTGAGATGTGTGCACCGGCCGCCTCCCGGGTAAGCCCCTCTGTTTTCGTCATTGGTGAAGTAGCTCCGGGGAGCCGAAGGGGCTTCCCCCCAGAAAACCAGCGTTGAATGTAATGTAACGCTATTTTCTGAGTGAGACCCGGAGGCTTCCCGGCAATTCCCCCTCCCTTCCCTCCGGTAGGCAGTTTTTGCATCTTTTGACATCCAGCCTAAGAACTGGTGGTTGGATCGCTGGCGCGGTGGGTCTGGGGCTTCCTCTTCCGCCTCCCGGGGAGGGGGGAGCTGCGCAGATATGCAGCGTATCTTGTGTGACGTCATGCTCATTTGCTCATTTTTATTTGGGGAGTTCTGTCTATTCGTTTGTCTATTTTCGTCATTTTAACCAGAATAGGGGTTTGTTTTGTGGAACTTACCTTTCTGGGTGTCTGTCCCGGTCGATGGCAGATATAGAATGCTCCAAATCACATGTGCATTTCTATAAGCCATTGCTCCTTGTGCCTCTGAGGTGGGGCCAGGTTCTGGCTCGTGGTCCCTGGTAGGCCTAGAACTCCATTCGCATAGACTGATACCAATGTCTAGGGATATACATATCAGCCTGGATAGCTCCAGGGAGCCTCCGGATCTCACCCAGAAAAAGGCTTTACATTACATTCAACGCTGGTGTTATTATATTGTGTTAAAATATACTTATTAAATTATTAATTTTAAAATGAGTGTCTATATAATAGTTAATAAGTCTGATGCAGATATTCAATCCAACAATAATCATTCTGGAATCACATCAGAATAAGGTCTGTTACCTAATGATCCATTATTATTTGTGGTATATTTTGTTTGACAGCTAATGGGAGACACCTGTACCCGAGGTTGTCGATTTTGCTCGGTTAAAACTGCCCGCAAACCCCCTCCTTTGGACCCCCAAGAACCTGTTAATACTGCCACTGCCATTACCAAGTGGGGTCTCAGCTATGTTGTTCTTACATCTGTGGACCGAGATGGTAAGCAAATTATTTTAGACTTTTATTGTAAAAGATTGTGCATTAAAATAATAGTAAACTGTTTTATATAAAAATATAAATTTAAGAATTGCAGTTAAGCAGTGTTCCTTCTCATCCCTTATGGAGGTAAATTTTGATCAGTATGTTATACATTTATTTTTGTATAAAAGATATAAATGAGCAATGAGAGTAAGAGCAGTAATCTATTGAGTATCATGATAATACGAAGATACAGTGGTACCTCGGATTACGAGCGTCCCTGGTTACAAGTTTTTCGGGTTACGAGCAGGATTTGCTCGGAAAATTTGGATCAGGATACGAGCGTTGCCTTGGGATACGAGGGTGTTAATACGTGTACGGGCCGACCTAGCTTGTGGTGGCACAGCGATCGCCCCTCAGTTTACCAGTGCCTCGCGCCCAGTGACTATCCCGCCTGAATTCTTCACAAGGATTTACAGTTTTTGTCAGATTTTTTACCATTTGAGCATGAAAGTTATTATATATCTTGCCATGGGTCCCAAGAAAGCTAGTGGTAAGGTTCAACCTAAGAAAATAGTTGAGTAGAGGCAGTAGAGGATGTCCCTGCCTCATTAAGAAAATGTGTGAAGTATGGGAAGAACTGCAAAGTTTTGCTGAAAAAACTCGCCCAGATAAAGCTGTAGCAGGCCGTTGCATTGTCCTTTTAAATGACAATGTGATGTCTTACTACAGACAAGTGTTAAAATGTAGGGAAAAACAAGTGTTTTTAGACAGATTCTTAGTAAGACAAGCAAGCAGTGAGCCACAAGCAGGTCCTAGTGGTATGCAGGCAAAACGTGCCAGAGTGCAATCCAGAAATTTTTTTACTGCCTGATGTTATAATGGAAGGGGACTCCCCCCTTCCAAACAGTAACACCTCTCCTCCTCACCATCTTCCATATGCCAACAGCAGTCATCAGCAAGGGTAAGTAATAACTTGAACATACTTTTGTAGTGTAGATTTGGATTAATTAGGTATAAAATTTAGTTTGAAGTGAAGTTTTTGGGTAGTAAGGAACGGATTAATTCATTTCCCATTATTTCCTATGGGGAAATTAGCTTTGGTTTACGAGTTTTTGGGTTACGAGCTGTCTCCAGGAACGGATTAAATTCTTAAACCGAGGTACCCCTGTACTATGAAATGTGTATGTAAAATGTATTGGAGAATATGCAACAAAATCTTGGCTGTTAGTAATGGTTTGTAAAGATAGATTTGTAGTAAGGAATATAAAAGGCTAAGCCTGTAAAAGTAATAAAATGGTAAACTATAACAAAATATAGGTAGCAGAGGATTAAGGAAAAGATGTCCAGTTGTAACAGAGTAAAAAAGTGCTGTTACATACATACATACATACATACATGCATAGATACTATCAGGGGGTTGGGGATTTTATAAAACTGGTTATTGAACCAAACTGATAGTGTACTTGCTTACCGACGAACAGACCCCCCAACCACTCCCTGATAAAAATATGACCGACAATGGCAACCACACTTCAGCTGCCGTCAGCCAACCATCAATGGACACTGGAGTGCTTGCAATTACAGTGGTACCTCGAATAACAAATTTAATCCGTTCCATGTTCCTCATGTGAAACGGACATCATACAAAACGAATGTCCCTATTTAACCACTGTAATGCACTGTGTTTATTGTGAAATTCCCCCAGTGTGCATGACATCAAATGTTCCCAAAAAATCATTTTTCTTTGTAAAATGATAAATTACCTTCCCTGAACATGTCTATGTAAAAGTAATTACCAAATTCCACTTACTTTGGCTGTGAGCACGTGGACAAGGTGCGCTGTGACGTCATCAGGGGCTGGTCGCCCGTGTGTGAAGCTCCCAGACACGGTCGCGCAGGCCATTCAAGCACCGCGTGTTGCCACAAATATATTTTCAAATATTTTTTCTATGTATTTCCAATGCTGTTTTATTTGTTTCTTTTATCGTATATGATGCATATTTGTGACCTTTATAATATGTATACAGTAGAATGTTCATAATTTTCCATGGAACTGTGATACATGTCAGTAATGTGTCCACAATAAATGTTTATTGTCACAATATTACGTGGTAAAAATTCACTAAAATTACAATATGTACAGTTTCACATATTATTTACACAGTAACACTGTACTGTATTACACACTTACTACCCTGTCGGAATTGACAGGGTAGACAAAGACGGGCTATTTAACACAAGGGGCACACGCACTAGGGGACACAGGTGGAAACTGAGTGCCCAAATGAGCCACAGAGATATTAGAAAGAATTTTTTTAGTGTCAGAGTAGTTGACAAATGGAATGCATTAGGCAGTGATGTGGTGGAGGCTGACTCCATACACAGTTTCAAGTGTAGATATGATAGAGCCCAATAGGCTCAGGAACCTGTACACCAGTTGATTGACAGTTGAGAGGTGGGACCAAAGAGCCAGAGCTCAACCCCCACAAGCACAAATAGGTGAGTACTCAGTACTTTGGAGGTGCGTAATAATCAACGAAGTAGTCCATGATACACAGCACGACTTTGCTCTCATTGCACCAGCTACAGATAGATTTTTGCTTCCTGTTTCATCGTTCTGTGTGCTTGCAAATAACACACTCGCATGCACCCTTGGCTTTAGTACTTGTAGGTGGTATGTAGCCAAGCTTGTAAAGCATAAGGTAGTATTGAAATGATTATAGGAAAAGCTCAATTTGTAAGGTAGTCTTGAAAAGATCGCTTTGTAAGGTACTACACAAGAAGAGATTCAGCTAGCCTCAAAGAGTGTCTGTCAGTCAGAAAGAGATTCAGGTATTCTTGAAAATATCTATGAAAAACACCACCATGGAAGCCGCTAACACTGTTCATCTATGCTACTTGTATCAGATACATCATCACTGAATGCAGAAAACGATTCATCTATGTATCATCTATATAAATTGGAGATGGCAAGGGTGGGGCTCAGAGCTACAACTGAATACGCTCGCTGTATCATGCTCGTAGGTGCTGTATCACTTGCATCCGACCATTGTGTTAAGTCCTCATTGCGCCTAACTTCACCAATATTATGACCCTTATGTTCTTCAAACAATAAAGTCTTAATTTCACCGACTGAGCGCTATCTTTCAACACCGTGTCGGACAGGTGTTTGGGAGCTAGAGGCACGTGTGCCACAAATGGTTGCTCGCAGTACTAACCCAGCCAGCAGCCCTAGTCTTTCGTATTCGTTACAGCAAAAGGTTCGTTCAGGGTTTGTCGGGTAGGCTGCTCCATTATGACAATCTTTCTTTGTTTCAAATGTTCCATTTGTTTTGTATTTGTCACTTACGTCTCAATAATGGAGCAGCCTACCCGACAAACACTGAACGAACCTTAATGGCATTTGTTAAATTTTCATATTGTTTCAATAGTTCTTTTATTTTTTTTTTATTTTTATTTAAGAAACATGGAGCAGCCTACCTGTAGACCACCGAACGAACATTTTTTACATTTGTTCTGGTTTTCAAAATTCTTCATTTTTTTATTATTTAGGTTTTTTTTTATGTAAGAAACATGGAGCAGCCTACCTGCCGACCACCGAACGAACCTTTTGCTATACGACAAACGAAAAATAAATATTGAACACATTTGAAGAAAGGAAAATGTCATAATGGTTTGTTCAGTGTATGTAAGGTAGGCTGCTCCATTATTGAGACATAAATGACAAATACAAAACAAATGGAACACATTTGAAGCAAAGAAAGATTGTTATAATGGAGCAGCCTACCTGCCAAACACTGAATGAACCTTTTTGACATTTGTTGTATATCAGGAATTTCATTTCTTTTTTTCTACAACAACGTCAATGCTTTGCAACATCTCAGCGGTCACCCCTTTATATCCCAGCATCATTAGTATCTTTAAACAAGAACAACATAATTTATGTGCATTGTCGGAGGCATCTGAGAATGTGCAAGAAGCAGCGCAACCCCACCCTGTGGTGTTGACGTTACTCAAACAAGAGTTCGCCATACAGGACGATTTGACGCCAATCGGGCCGTTTGTTACCCAAAATGTTCGCCTTTTGGGGCGATTGTTATCCGAAGTACCACTGTAGTTGGGAGATTGCCCTGTAATCATCTTGTTCTCAGAGAGGGGTTCATCGTCACCTTTATTCAGGGGTGCGGCTCCAAACTGGCCTAGTTGTCATGAGTACATAACCACTCGAGCCGCCGTGACTCCCCAACACTCTCCTTATTATGGGATGATCCCCTAAATCCTCCTTCATCAGTTACTGATCACTGATCACCATGTATCAAGAAGCACATCATTAAACTGGAAAAAGTGCATAGGCATGCTACAACATGGCTTCCGGAACTGAAAAACAAGAGTTATGAGGAAAAGCTAGAGGCATTATTAAATATGCCAAAACTAGAAGATAGAAGAAAAAAGAGGTGATATGATCACCACTTACAAAACAATAACAGAAATTGGCCAAATTGACAAAGAGGAATTCCTGAAACCTGCAACTTCAAGAACAAAGGACGCAGATTCAAGCTAAGGAAACAAAGGTGCCAAAAAAATATTAGAAAGTTTTCTTTTGCAAACATAGTGGTAGACGGCTGGAACAAGTTAAGTGAAAAGGTGGTGGAGGCCAAAACTATTAGTATGTAGTTTCAAAGCCTTATATGACAAACAGTACTGGGAAGACAGGACACCACGAGCGTAGCTCTCATCCTGTAACTATACTTAGGTAATTAGACTCACTCATTCACTCGCATGCACACTCTAACACCTAACACTTTCTTTAATTAAGAAAATTGTGTGTGAGCTGGGATGGTAAACAGTCAGCATAATATGATAGCAGATATAGTGGTTTAGTATTGTAGTTACAAAAGTTAAGATCTTTGTGTTATTAAGCTTCTTTTGTAAGATTTGACTGTCAGGTCACAGTCAAAAGATCCCGGGTTCAATTCATGCAGTAGAATAGAAGCATTTGGGCCAACTTTTCTTTCACCTGATGTTTGTTCATCAAGCAGTAAAAATATACTTGGGAATTAAAGAACTGTTGTGGGTTGCATCTTGGGAAACCTTAATACCATATTTAAGTAGAAATTATTTTAAATTTTGCAAGAAATATAATAATCTTAGGTTATATTAAAATTCTGGAAATGTTTTATCATTCATACATTATTCACACTTGCTACATTTACCTTTAATTAAGTTTGACAAAGTATACAGTGGTGCATTGTATAATATTATCTTCCATAGATATTCCAGATGGAGGCTCGGCTCACTTTGCTGAAACAGTAATGGAGCTGAAGAAACAGTAAGTAATAGTGAAAATGTATATTAATCTCTTTCTGGTGGGTTCTTGGTGGCTCCTTTGTGTTTGCTGCAAATTCCATATAGTTCAATCCACGCCAGGCCCTTGCAAGTCACAGTAAGCCTACTTGGGACCAGAGGCCAAAATCTGGTCTCACCCTAAAGAGGCAAAAGGAGCAGGGAATCGTGGATCACCCTAACCAAGAAAAGACCACTAGAAAGATGGGTGAACCAAGCTTTGTGGCCTTTTTTTGGCCTTGGGTAGGAAGTGGTGGTGTTGCTGGTTGGGGCGCAGGATGCTATGTTGGATGTTTACCTATGTGATGGTCATTTTCCTGTTCCTTATGGTGGCATTGTACTTTTGCAGGGTTTTTCTTTTATTTTTGTTTTCCTTAAAACTGGAGGGGGTCTGCCTTTGACTATTTGTCCACCTAGGGTATTTTGGTGGTCCTCCTCTAGGCCGCCGTGCTTGTACACGTCACAGGGGTCTAGTTTATAGCCCATCTCCCTCTTTGTTGACATTTGGCGGTCCACTGGCTTAGCAGCACTTTGCCTGTGCCTCTCGTAGGCAAAACCCCCCCCTATGGGCCCTGGAAAACATCGTTGGGGCTTGGTTGACCGATGGATGTGTCTTCTGAGTCCCACCTCGCCTTGTGTGAGTTTAAAGGTTGTACTGTGACCTTGTTTCAGGGTGACAGTCACCTGTTTTGCCTACATCAAGCTGCCTGTTGGTTCAATGACATCTTTGACCCAGAGTCTTGCAAGACGTGTTCTCTGCTCGTGCTCCAGTTTACCCATTCTACTGTAACTGAGATTAGGGTTCAGGCAGCTTGTGTGTTGCATTCTAGGTTCAGGTTGTTGTGCTAGGTTGGTTAGTCGCTTGGATGCCTTGGAGCTGTCCTGTTTTGGTTTTATGGACCCGGACTTAGGGGCGTTAGTCTCTTTGACTTTGGTAAAGTCCGTGCCCGCAAGTCCTTCCCTGGTTGGCAGTTTTTGTCCTGCTCCCCATACCCACCCCCACCCTCCCCTGCTCCCAAACGTCTGAAGGTTTCGGAGTCAGGGCAGGGTTTAGTTGGTGATGAAACTCGGGCGGCTTCGGGGGCTGCTCCACTCGAGTTGGAAATGGAGGAATTCGAGCCTGCTCCTCCTGCTGTGGCTTCTGGGTCTTAACAGCAAAACCCTTTCTTTGCTGCCTTTCCCTTAGAATCTGCCTTTTCTTCAGGGGTAGAGGGCATGGAGGACAGCTCTGCCCTGGGGCCTGGCTTGGAGGCTTCTGGGGCTGGGGAGGAGTCGCCCTGGGGGGCTTGGGCGTTCTTTGATCTCACTTGGGTTTTGGTGCCCTTGTTGTGGGGTTTGTAGTTGCAGGGGAAGGGGTTTTCTTACCCCCCCTCCCTTCCTTCGGCATCTGTTCTGGTTGCTTCGGGCCGTCCCTTCTGCCTCTCGTGACTGCTGGGTTTGACTTCTGGGGGCCTTGGGTCGATTGCTTCCCCCCAACCCAGCTGTTGCTTCTGGTTCTGGCTCTTTTAGAGTTTTACCACAGGAGAGTCATCCTTGTGGTCCCTTGGTGGCCGGCCCAGCCTTAGTTTCAGGTGCTGCTTGCTAGGGTTTTGGAGGTTGAACAGGGTCCTGACAGCCCGTTATTTGGTAAATGTTCCTGGTCGTTCATGTGTGGCTTTGGGTCTTTGTCATGTGTGGGCAACTGGTTGCAGGTTGCAGCCAGTTGTCTCAACTTCGAGTTGATGTACGCGGTGCTGCCGCCACCCGGGTAAGTCCCTCTTTTACTTGTCTTTGGTTATGTAGCTCCAGGGAGCCAGAGGAGCTCCCCACAGAAAACCAGCATTGAATGTAATGAAATGCCATTTTCTGGGCGAGCCCTGGAGGCTCCCTGGCCTCCTCCCTCCCTCCGGTCGGTGGTTTCGTTTTGATGCCCAGCCTCCAAACTGTGGTGTGAGAGTAGCTGGTGCTGGGGGGGTTAGGCCCCCCCCCCCCCCCGACCTGAGGGCTGCGTGAACAAGCGGCGTGGCGGCAGTGAATGACATTTGCTTGTTTCCTTATGTTTTGGGGGAGTTTTGTGTTTCTGTTCAGTCTTCAGTTGCAATTTCTTACCAGGTGGGGTTTGTTTTGTTTTGCGTACCTTTCTGGGTGCCTAACCCCGGTCGATGGCTGACATGGAATGCTACAAAACACATGGGGATTTCCATAGGCCATTGCTCCCTGTGCCTCTCTGAAGGGGCCAGGTTCTGGCTAGTGGTCCCTGGTAGGCAGAACCCCATTGACTGATGCCCCAGACTAATATAGTGTACTGGTATATCAGTCTGATAGCTCCATGGAGCCTCCGGGGCTCATTCAGAAAATGATTCATAACATTCAATGCTTTTTTTTTGCCTTATGTAGGGGGCCGTAAGTTGAGGCAGTGTACAGGCTACGATATTAGAGGATACCAGAGATGCCTTTACTGAGTGTAGGGAGCCATTAATAGGATGCTATATGAAATAGGGGTAATGACCGTAAAGAGTTTGGGAACCACTGATCTAGTGTATATACATTACAGTACATTTAAAAAAGTGTATCTTATGCCCAAATGTGGAGCTTAAACAAGACCCTTGGATCTAGCTGTTCCTCATCTGAAGATAATGCCTGTGAGCCATTTAGGAGAGAGTGTCAAAGAAGCTTTACCTCTGCCCACACACACATTTCCACATGTATTAGTTAACCCACAGCTTGAAATATATGTAAAGTATTGAAAAACTAATTTGGTCATGGTATAGAAGCTTTTAATCCCCTTATTTCATAAACTCCTGTTTCATAGAGTAAGATATTCAGATCAAAGATAAAGCAAATTTTTCTGACCTAGACTATTAGTATTTGGTCATACAGTATCTGTATATCCATGGGGTTCACTTGGACCCAGACCTGTTTTTAAATGGGTGCAAGGTATTTTGTGTGTTTAAGAATCATTTCATTGTGCTGATCTTTGATCAGCTCACATGGATCTTTCATCTCAGGCTGGTCTATACATATGCTTTCTCTTAATTTTCACTATGACAAAGAAACATGTAAAACAAGCCTTAGATACCTATTGGAGGTCATTATGGAAGGGATAAGAAAATCTCCAGTGCCTCCCATTCAGCTTGGCAGAGGTATTTGCAAAGATCCCCAGTACACTAGGGAGAAAGAGTTGACTTGTCTCTGTCATTTAGTCATGGCCTTGGAAGAGCATGACATTGCTTAAGGAAGCAACTGATTGGCCTGCCCAGAACAAAGCTTTTCATCTACAGGAGTCTTATTTTTTCACTCAATTAGATTTTGTAATAGAAATATTGTACTCAGCTATCCTGGCTTTCTGGACATTAATTTTGTTCACATGGTTAATTTTTATATTAAAGATACAGTACTTTTAAGATTAACCATTGATTTTAACAAGTGAAGATTTCTTTGTCAGAGCAATTGTAGTTCAGATGATGTTTACTAAATGGCAAAAGTGGCGACTTGAAACTTTAGATATTACTCACTCTTAATGTTTTCCAGATTATTTAAGATTATTAACTACTGTAGGAACTTTGGGAACCTACAGTTCCCAAGAACACCCCTACAGTTGGGAACTGTAGGGGTGCTTTTACCTAAACTGCATTGGCAGCTTTTCCACCAGGGTTGGACTTAGTTACCCATTCTTTATGGAGGCAAGTTATTTATTTGATGCAATTTGCAATATACAAGCTCCATATTCTTCATTAAAAGGTAACTTGAGTAGCTATCAGTGTATGAGATTGTAAATGGGCTGAGAAATCACAAGCTGGAGGCTCCTTAACCCTGACTTACTTTATTCTTTTCCTTGCTGGCATAACATAACATTATGAAATATCTATGAAATATCTAGTTATAAACTAAAGAATGACCTTGTGGGTTTTAAAATTATTACTTCACAGTTGGTTAGCTTTTTAACATTTTAGCAAGCCATTTCAACCCATGTGTTTACTGTGCAAAAGAGCTTTGCTTCTACATAGTCATCAAGGGCCACCTACTTCTCTCCTTCCCCATATCTAGATAGCTCAAAGCCATAGATATCATCTGTTGGCAAGTTACAGAAGGTTACTGTTGATTCCATTTTATTTCTTAAATGCATAATTTGCAGGAACCCTTCCATTTTGGTAGAATGCCTTGCTCCAGACTTCAGAGGTGACAAAGATTGTATAGCAACTATTGCCAAATCAAGATTGGATGTATTTGCTCATAATATTGAAACAGTGGAGTCTCTAACTCCTCGTGTTCGTGATCCTAGGGCAAAATATAGGTAAGTGGTACTTGTGCAGTAAACCTTCATGTAATGCAAGAGATGTATTCTATGAAAGTCTTATCCTACATAAAATCATTCTACATGAGGTTGAGTATGTTGCTAGAAAAATAGGTATGCATTCCAGAGACCTCCCCAAGTTACTTTTTTTTTCCACTCATATCTTAATAAAATACCTTTCTGAACATTATCACAAGACCTTAAACTCTGTTCAGGGTGAGGATGATTGGGCACTGTTCATTGCTCATCTCTTTGTACCCAGCAAATAATTGGAGACCTTGTTGTAAAATTATTGGTAGATCATGTTCTAGTAAAAGCATGGTGCTGAATAACCTAACCAGTTCTAGTATTTGACCTAAGGCCTAAATTAAAATAAAAAGTACTGATTACTCTTGTCACTTCTTAGATATGGGATCACTGAATTGTTTGATGTGAAAGTTAGATATACAGTACAGTATACTGGGATCAGTTTTGTTTGGTATATATAGAAGCTGCCTCATATAGCCTAACACACTACTATACAGTACAGTAGCTCTCTTTATTCTTATGTTATTTATGGGAGGCAGCAGTAATTGCAAAATATTTGAGGGGCATTGATTGGTGAATGCAATCCAAAAGTATGTAAACCAAGGACATTTTTATTTTATTTTTTACCTTTCATTCTATGTAATGTTTTGGTGTTGAAGGACATGGTCACACTTTGCAAGCTTGGGGCTACTCAAATGTCTGTTGCATAGAAAAGTACATTATATAGTACAGTACATGTACTGTATACTGTATTTGTTTTCTGAGTGACTGCAAAACAAATACCTATCACATTGATATTAAAAAAAATAATAAGTAATGGTAATGTCTTCTCAAAGACATAATAACATAGGATAAAAACCCACACTTGTGTATTTGTGAAATTTATGTAAAGAAACTACACCAAGTCTTTTGCACTCTCATGAGTGCATTGTCAAGGTCTGAGTGTGGTTAGGTTGAGACTTACATCTTAAAGTCTAATGAGGCTGCTACCCTGTTGTTGTTGTTGTTTTAGATTCAGCTACTTGGAACAAACAGTTCTAAATAGCACAGGCTATGGTGAGCCCGTAGTGGGCTTACCTGGCACAGTAAAGCTATCCTCCCAAGTAAAGCTTTTGTTATCAGCGAAAGTATTCCGAGTATTTATTAGAACCCCTCCTACTACTCTTCTAGTTCTAATATTATTACTTTTATAAATTATTTCACACTTCTTAAATCAATATCGTGATGTTTTTTCCAAATATGGTTTGTTACAGCACTATTACCAGCCATGATTCTACATGCTTTCTTATGTTCTTCAATTCTGGTCTAAAGTTTTTGCCCTGTTTTCCCCCGATAGACTTCATTACAATCCCTACACGGTAATATATAAACACCTCCTGGATTTCTATCTCCTCCTCCTCTGTTCTTACAAACCCTTTCCCTAATTGTATTTGGGTAATTGAAAATGATTTTATGTTTTGTATCAATTATGTTATAGGTCAGTTTACTTAAAAGAAGGTTATATGGCAATTTCAAAACTATTTTCTTATTAGGATTCCATGGGCATCTTTCAGTTTTAGTGTAAAGGATGCCTTTAGCCTTACTGTGTGCTTTTTCAATAAACCATGAGGGGTAACCTAGATCCAAGAAACTCTTATACTGTATAAGTATTTAAGTTGGGCTTCTAGGTAAGATGGGTCATAAGTCCTATGTGCTCTTAGATAAAGACCGTTGAGTACACTCTGCTTAGCTGAATTAGAATGATATGAGATAAAATGAATACAGGCATACCTCAGAATAAGAGTTTAATCCGTTCCTGGAGACGCCTCGCCTTCCGAAAACTCGCATTCCGAAGTTAATTTCCCCATAAGAAATAAAGGGAAATGAATTAATCCGTTCCTGACTACCCCAAAAACCCCACATCAAACTAAATTTTTATACCTAATTTACCTAATTCATCTAAATAAACCTACAAAACTGTGTTCCAGTTATTACTTACCTTGCTGTCGAGTGCTGTAGGCGTATGGAAGATGGTGAGGAGGGGGGAGGAGGAGAGGAGTTACTGTTTGGAAGGGGAGTCCCCTTCCATAATCACATCACATAACCCCATGCCTTGTAACACTATGGATACCACTTCTCTTTCTAAATTTTTCAAACCAGCCCCTGCTTGCCTTAAACTCTTTCTTATCTGCATCACTCGTTGCAGGGGTATTCTTTAGAAGGTCTTCGTGCAACACCCTGGCTTTCTCACAAATAATGGCCTCCGAAACACTATCACCCCTCAACTCCTTGTCGTGTATCCAAATTAATAACAACTTTTCCACTTCTTCAAGTATTTGTGGTCTTTGTGCCGTTAATGTTCTTACTCCTTTTGCCACTTTAGCACCCATAATCTTAAGAAGAAAAATAAGTATAGTGCATATTGTTGATGTGGCTTTGTTGTACTGCCTACAAAGTTCAACAACACGTGTACCGTTCTCATGCTTCCGAATGATCTCTTGTTTCTCCTCTATTGTCATCCTCACATGAGCTTTCTGGCCTTTATCCTTACCACTGGCTTTCTTGGGACCCATGGTGAGATATATAATAACAAATTGTATAGACAAATCACCAAAAATCCAACAAAACACTGAAAATCCGCGAGAAGAATTGATGTGGGGGTAGTCACTGAGCGCGAGACAATAATAAACTGAGGGGCGGAGGGGCGACGAACGCGCTAGGTCGGCTGTACGCGTATCAACAAACTCGCGTCCAAACTCGCCTCCCGAAGTAACCCTCGCCTTCTGAGACAAATTTTTGGAGTAAATACACCTCGCCTTCCGAAAACCTCGCATACAGGGACAATCGCATTCCGAGGTACCACTGTATTTGCCTAATGAACGACGTAGCACGACAGTTGAGGTCAGAGCACTGGAAAGATTATGAATACTTTTGTGATGATGTGTCAAAAATTTAAATATTTGTTAAAATTCCATCTATTGTTTGATTATTATGGGACTAGTTTTAAAATGTGCGCCTTTAAATTGCGAAAAAATTGATACCAAAATGAACGGCATAGATCGGAAATTGATGTCAGAACACTGGAAAGATAATACAGTAAATACTTGTAGTGATGTGCGTCAAAAATTTTAATTTGTTAAAATTCTATTTATTGTTCAATTATTATGGGACTAATTTTAAAATGCATGCCTTTAGATTGCAGACAATTTGGTACCAAAATGAACCACATAGCATGACAATTCAAGTCAGAACACTGGAAAGATAATAAATGCTTGTGTGGTGATTAGCATCCAAAAATGAAAATATTTGTTAAAATTCCATTTATTATTCAATTATTATGGGACTAGTTTGAAAATGCAGGCCTTTAGATTGCAAACAATATGATACCATGATGAACAACGTAGCTCAGATATTGAAGTCAGAACACTGGAAAGAGTATACATGTCCCAGGAATCGCAGGGCCGGGTACAAATCGCCAAACCAACCTGGGGTGTACTCGGGCGCACGCCGGGAACACAAGACAGTTAAGCGATGTGTTAAGTGTTAAGTGATGCCAAAGTGTTAAGCGATGCCAAAGATTTTGGAGGTTCCTACAAAAACCTTTACTGACAGAAGTTATGAGATATTTTTTGCACAAGACCAGAGGGAGCTCTGAGAATTTGAAGATTATAGTTCACCACACTTCTTTTTAAGGAAGTTACTAAGTGTCATGAAGGACAATCTTAGTGGTTTCTTTCAGCAATATAAAGAGAATGAATCCTGAAGGATGTTGTAATTAACAGCTCTGATAGTATATAGAATATTTCTGGCAAACACAATCTTATTGTAATTACTTAGATAGCTAGCAAATCAGCTTAAGTACTGATTGAAGTAATAATATTTTCAATTGATGAACAAAAACAAACTTAGTATACCCCAGAACAAACTCATTAGGTTTAAATTTATCTTGAATTAAAATTGTGTTAACGTACAAATATACTTTTCTTTCATATAGAAAATTTTGACTCTGCCCTTTACTCTTAATGGATATCTATCCTTTCAGGCAATCTTTGGGAGTTTTGGAACATGCCAAGACAACAAAAGCAGACTTAGTCACAAAGTCCTCTATTATGTTAGGCCTGGGAGAAACTGATGATGAAATTTTGCAGACTATGAAGGGTAAGTTTCTACTAAATATATGGTTGAATGTTATATGAATGGTCTTTGACACTTGTATTTACTTCTGCCATCCATATTTGTATATATTTTATTTTCATGTATTCAAAGCATAGTAGTGCTTGCGCTCGACAAGAAGTTCCAGCTGGTCTACAAACCAGAACCAGATTAGTGTCCAAGTAGGAGGTGAAAAAAATGATCAGAAACAACATTAAGCAGAACTGAAGTTAACATAGAAGAGGTAAAAGGACATCTGAAGGAATTGGATGTTGCAAAAGCAATAGGACTGGACCAGATATCGCCATGGTTACTGAAGGAAGGTGTTCAACATTACACTAGAGGGGGAAGGAAGAGCTGCTGAAAATCTGGAAAAAAAGACAAATGTAGTTCCAATACTCAAGACAGGGGACAAACATGAAACACTAAACTATAGACCAGTGTCATTAATATGCATTCCATGTGAGACTGTAGAAAAAGAAATCAGAAGAGGGATTGGAGAACATTTGGGGGTAATAAATTATATAATAGAGGCACAGCATGACTTCAGAGAGGGAAAATCATGTTAAACAAACTTGATTGTCGTCAATGACAGGGTCACCAAAATAAGACGAGGAGGAAGATTGGTATACTGTATCTTTGTAGACTGCCAAAAGACTTTTCATACACAGTAGTGCCTCACAAAAGACTAATACACAAGATAGAGGAGACAAGTGGGTTAACAGGAAAGGCAGTGGACTGGGTACAGGAAACAAAGGGTCATAGTCAGAGGACATGTTAAGCTGGAGAAGAGTGGAAAGTGGTATTCCATATGGCTCTGTCATAGGACCATTGCTCATTTTAATTTATGTGAGCTCATGCACGTCAGTGTTTGCAGATGATGTAGAGTTAATGAGAAGAGTAAGAACTGTAGGGTGGAAGACCTTGACAAACTTCAGGGGTGAGCAGATAAATGACTGCTAGAATTCGATCCATATTTTCTTTTTTTGGTATTTATATATTTCTTACGAGTTCTTACATTCTTGTATAGCCACTAGCATGCATAGCATTTCGGGCAAGTCCTTAATCCTAATATTCCCCGGAATACGACCTACCAAATCGTTTAACAACCAGGTACCCAATTTACTCTTGGCTAAACAGAAACTACAGGTAAGGATTGGCACCCAGTAAATCCTCTCTGGCCAGGATATGAACCCAGGCCAAAGTGCTTGCGAAATGCCAGGCGAGTGTCTTACCACTATGCCACGGGACTGTATATAAATGTAAAGTAATGAAAATAAGTAAGGGCGATAGGAGACCTGTATTTAACTACTTCATAATTGGAAGGTAATTAGAAGAAACAATAAGAGAAAAAGACCTGAGAGTAAACATAATCCCAACATTAATCCCAGAGAGCAGCTTCCTGTCCCAGAGGGCTGCAAACCTAACCAAACAACAATCAATAATGGGGAAAAAAAAATCTCTATTGATCCTTATTTCAGGTCCAGAGATCACCTATCAGAAGTTAATATTAAAGTGTATATGAAAGGTAGGGCATGAAACTTATCTTTCCTATTTGTTTTTTTACTTATTTGTAAAGAATGAACTCAAAATTATTTTATCTGATTTTTTTCAGGTATGCATACATGGATGCTCCCTTGTTACTTGAATTGAGCAGTCATAGGGTTAACTTTTTACTATTGAAGCATTGTTTCCATGGATAATTGCAGTAATGCAGTTTAGCACATGCTTTCTACACATCATAAATACACATTTTGAAATTCTGTATTTTCAAATTCTGCAGATTTACGTAATGCAGGGGTGGAGTGTGTCACTCTTGGGCAGTATATGCAACCAACCAAGCGGCATCTCAGAGTATCTGAATATGTTACACCTGAGAAGTACCAGCACTGGGAGGAGACTGGAAAGAGTTTGGGATTTATTTATACTGCAAGTGGGCCATTAGTGAGGTCATCATATAAAGCTGGTGAATTCTTCTTGAAACATCTGCTCATGCAGAGAAAACAAGATAAAACTCTTTAGGTGTAATTTGATTGACTGTGTTAAGTATATTTTAGCTTTTTATGTTAATTTATATCATACTTAACATTAATATAGTTTTAGGCATGGAACATCATTTAGAGTACTACTTTACTTTTGTATATATTATTAGTACTGTATATACAAAATTATAAACCTTGATATAATGCAGTTTTTTATGGGTTCCATAAGAACAATAATACTACTTTTCTAACTATTCTAACACAGAAGGAATCTGGGGTACAGTTTCTTAGCCCATTTTTGCACATCATCAAATTGCCTATTATGAGCAAAAATGGGTCAGTTAATTTATTTTATTTGGGCATTTGATCTTGTTAACAGAATAAACTTGTCAAGTGAGCCTTGTGCCTCCATTCATACCTACACTCTCTCTCTCTCTCATATAATGACTGTTGCACACAATCTGTTCTAGTTCACAGCTTCATAATTTTGCCATACTGACCAATATTACATTAGTACTATATGTCAGATTTCAAGTTGCACAAAGTTTCTTTCTAGCTAAACCAAAAAGTTACATTAATTTTCAGCTGTTTAATTTCTCATACTGCATAAAACATTCAACAGAAATGACAACTTTGTTTAAAGTAGATATGAAAGATGAGCTCATAATAATGAACATGTTTGCTAACTTAACCCTTGGTTATTGTTTCTACATCTCTAATGTGACACATACTAGTAACCATAATCTAAGACAAAAATTTAAGCATGGTCTACAGTCAACTTTTAATTTTCTGCAATATATAAATGAATAATTATTTTCATATAAAATATTTGATTTTAGAGATTATTTTCCAATATTTCATTATAATTCAGGACAAACAGGATATGTTAAACCAGTCGGTATATGGCAAATAATAAAAATACAGTTGAAAATATATATATTTTTTTTAATTGAAATTGTCTCCTGAACGGTCTCCTTTAGGATACAGTGCATCTTTAGTGTGTGAATCTGAATATTAATTATACAGTACTAAAGCATCCTCATAAATGCCAATCACATTCTACACTTCATCTGGATTTTCATAAAATCCAGACACAGTACAGGTATATAATTTTGTTTCGGGGATGGCTATTTATCATCAACATATTTTTGGATTTTGAATAGCAAATAATATAATACACGTTTCAACACATTTAAGCATACAAATATATAAATAATAATTATGCAAAAAAAAAAATTATTATTCACTTACCTTTTCATTGCACAGGGTTGGCCTTTGTAACCTAAATCCAGCAAAATACTTTGTCATGATATTCTTTCTGCTACAGACTGTGCACCATTAAAAGCCAGCCCCAAGCTACAGTGCTCTGAGTCATTGGTGAATAGTATCCTCCAAATCCTCATGCATATAAGGTTTTATTAGACACCCAACCCACACATCTGAAAATAAAGGAAGTGACAACATTTCGGTCCAGCCTGGACTATTATCAAGATTTTTGTTTCACATTGCTTCCTTTACCACTGCTCTCCAATTAATTTACAAACTATGTAATTACCTAAGTAATTACCTAAGTATAATTACCTAAGTGTAGTTACAGGATGAGAGCTACACTCGTGGTGTCCCGTCTTCCCAGCACCGTCATACAACGCTGTGAAATTACTGACAGTTTTGGCCTTCACCACCTTCTCATTTAACTTGTTCCAACTGTCTACCACTCTGTTTACTAAAGTGAATATTCTTATATTTCTCCGGCAGCTTTGTTTCATTAGTTTAAATCTATGGCCTCCTGTTCTTGAAGTTCCGGGTCTCAGGAATTATTCCCTATCAATTTTATCGATTCCTATTCCTATTTTATACGTAGTGATCACATCGCCTCTTTTTCTTCTATCTTCAAGTTTTTGCATGTTTAATGCCTCTAACCTCTCCTCGTAGCTCTTGTCCTTCAGTTCTGGGAGCCACTTAGTGGCATGTCTTTGTAACTTTTCCAGTTTGTTGATGTGCTCCTTAAGATATGGGCACCATACAACTGCTGCATATTCCAGTTTTGGTCTAACAAAAGTCATGAACAATTTCTTTAGTATTTTGCCATTCATGCATTTAAAAGCAATTCTGAAGTTAGAAAGTATAGCATAGGCTCCTCGCACAATGTTCTTAATGTGGTCCTCAGGTGATATTTTTCTATCTTGAATCACCCCTAGAGCCCTTTCTTTGTCAGAATTCTTTAAAGATTTCTCACATAATTTATAGATTATGTGGGGTCAAAATTCTCCAATTCCACATTCCATAACATGGCATTTATTCACATTAAATTCCATTTCCCAAGTGGTGCTCCATATACAGTACTTATTTTGTCCAGGTCTTCTTGAAGGGCATGACAATCATCTAGGTTTCTTACCTTCCCTATAATCTTAGCATCATCAGCAAACATGTTCATATAATTCTGTATTCCACCTGGTAGATTGTTTATGTAGACAATAAACATTACCGGTGCAAGAACTGGACCCTGTGGTACTCCACTTGTAACATTCCTCCAATCCGATACATTGCCTCTGATTACGGCCCTCATTTTTCTATCAGTTAGGAAATTTTTCATCCATGTTAGAAGCTTACCTGTCACCCCTCCAATATGTTCCTGTTTCCAGAACCTCCTCTTATGTGGAACTCAGTCAAAAGCCTTTTTTAGATCCAGATAGATGCAGTCAACCCAACCATCTCTTTCCTGTAAAATCTCTGTGGCTCGATCATAGAAACTGAGTAAATTCGTTACACAGGATCTTCCTGATCAAAAACCACACTGTCTGTCTGATATTATATCGTTTCTATCCAGGTGTTCTACCCATTTAGTTTTAATTATTTTTTCCAATATTTTGACTATTACACTTGTCAATGATACAGGTCAATAATTGAGGGGGCCTTCCCTGCTGCCACTTTTGTAGAGTGGAACGATGTTAGCCTTTTTCCACACACCAGCTACAACTCCTTTACACAGGGATGCCTGAAAAATCAGTTTAAGTGGAATGCTGAGCTCAGGTGCACATTCTCACAGAACCCATGGTGAAACTCCATCTGGACCAACTGCTTTGTTCTTACTTAGCTCCTTGAGCATATTTTCCACTTTGTCTCTTAGACACCTCTATGTACTCCATGTTGTTCTCTGGAATTCTTATTGTGTCTGGTTCCCTGAAGATTTCATTTTGTACAAACACACTTTGGAACTTTTCATTTAATGTTTCACACATTTCCTCTTCATTTTCCGTGAATCTATTTTCCATTTTCAACCTCTGAATATTATCCTTTACCTGCAATTTGTTGTTTATAAATTTATAGAATAGACCTGGTTCTGTTTTACATTTGTCCGCAATCCCTTTTTCAAAATTTCTTTCTGCCTCTCTCCTCACTGCCGTGTAGTTGTTTCTCGCATCTTTGTATCGCTGGTATGATTGGTGGTTTGGCCTCTTCCTATATTGATTCCATTTTTGTGTCTTTTGATCTCTGGTCCTCTCGCAATTCCTGTCGAACCAATCCTGTTTCCTAGTTCTGCATCTCTGCTTTGGTATAAATTTTTTGTGACTATCATATATTTCACAAAACTTGACATACATCTCATAAACTTCATGTCCTAACAGCAAGTCTTTCCAGTCAAATTCCTTAAAGAAATGTCTGAGTTCCCCATAACGACCTCGGCTTTTCAACTGCTTTAACCTCATTTTCTTCCAGATTATAACGCATTGCATACTTTATTCCCAAAAAGACATGGTCACCTTTACCCCATGGAGGGAGGTACTGAATGTCAAATATCTCTTCCTCTTTCCTGGTAAATATCAAATCCAGCATGGAGGGAACATCTCCTTCTCTCATCCTTATAGCTTGTTTAACATGTTGAAACATGAATGATTCCAAGATGAGGTTTACGAATCTACAAGTCCAAAAATCCTCTGTTCTAGCTTCATGTGCCTCCCAGTCTATGGATTTCAAGTTGAAGTCGTCAACTACCAACAGTCATGATCTATCTTTATCAACTCTCGCTATAATTTCTCTCATTATTGTTATAAGACCCTCTCATTTATTATCTAGCTCCTCCTTTGTTCATGTGTTGCTTGGCGGTGGATTATATGCATTTATGATCGTTAGTTTATCATCCCGATTGCATATCTCTAGTGCTATTATGTCAACGTCTCGTGGATTGGCAATTATTATTTCGTTTACCTTTAGGTGTTCTTTCACCAGCAGAGCAACGCCACCACCTTTCCTAATTTTTCTGTCCCATCTCCAAACTGAGTAGCCTCTTGGGAATATGACCTCATTTAAAATATTTTCAAATTTTGTTCTCTGTGAGTGCAACAATGTCTGGTGTCTGCAGCTGTATTACATCACTTAACTCCAGTATCTTTGATCTCACTGCATCTATGTTGGTGTATGCAATTTTCAGGAACTTGTTCCCCCTCTCCTTATTCTTCACTTCCCCCTCCCTTTAATGATTTTGTTCGTTTGCCTTTATGTACCACTTTACTGGTCTGCCTACCCCTATCACTTTGTAGAAAAAAGAATTGATTTCTTCTTCATTCCTGCTCTCATTTAAACATTTTGCCTCAGCGAGGTTCAGTTTCAGCTTCTCTCTGTCTTCTTTTGAAAGATCTCGTCATAATGACCATACTTTCCTCACCTCATCACTTTGTAATTTTCTAGCATTCCTTAGTACTTCTTCCATCTGCTTGGAACCGTTTAGGGTGATCCTCGAAAGTCGATCTTTCCCTTTTACATACTTTCCAATCCTTCTGTAGTCACAGACATTATCGATAGTAGTTAAGACCTTCCACGAGGCCAATAATTTTATCTACTGCTTCAACCACATTTTCTTCCAGATTATAACGCATTGCATACTTTTTCTCTTCTCTTTTTATCTCTTCTTCTACAGCTCTTTCTGACCTAGATGTTATCTCCTTTTCTTTGCAACCAAAAATTATCAGGGACTTACTTCGATCAACTGTGTTTTGCACCAATTTAGGATTTGATGCCAGTTCCTTTCTGACTTCCAGCCTAATGTTTGTTTATCCTGGTTGCTGCAGTGTTTGGCTTCCTTTACTGCTGCTTCTATTTTTTCCTTCTCCTTGGCCACTTGTGCATAGGTGAGTTGCATATCTTTCTTCTTGCACTGTTCTATTCCCTGGGTAATTTCCTCCATCTGTACTGACAAAAGCTGTTTTTCCTATTGAATTTCCTTACCTAACCTATTGTAGTTATTTAGTTTAAATTTGCTTTAACTTCTTCCAAAACTATTTTTAAGAGTTTATTTTCCTCTTCCATGGCTTTGCAATTTATTTCCTGTTGATTCTTGTCCTTGCATAAGTCTTTTACTAACCCCTCAAGACCTAAAACCTTGCCACTCAGGTGCTCATTA